CTGTAGGCGCGAGTGGGCGTGAGATCGAAGTTTTCGACCGGTAGGCGTTTTCTCACGCCTGTTAGGTGTGAGAGTTGGCAGGTATAAAAATGTAGCTGATGATGTTCCTCTTACCATACCTTTTTTTTTTTTTTTAGTTACAGAAATTACAAAAATTACAATTATTTCATATACACAATAGATTAGCTACAACAGCCGCGCAATTGCTGCTGTGCATTAACTTATAATTAGGTTCTAATATAGTTTAAAATTTAATTAATTATGATGGAAACAACTAATTACACAAATAGAGAATTGAATTACAATATACATGTACTTACTATACAACAAGTAATGCATTTAAATTAAATCTTAATTATAAATACTATACAGTCACAAATACATGCACAGTAACAAAAGGAAAATAAAAACTATAAAATTAGAGTGGAAAAACCATACCTGCAACTGGTCTCTGTGATGTGTCTTTGGCAGATCGTATTCTTTCTTTCTCTGAATGTGATCCTTCAATTACTCCAAATAAATTGCAAGATGTCACGTCCTGAAAAGGATGAAGTAAAACACACACTCTACTTTTAATAATAATGATTACAAGTTAACAACATTTTTGGTTTAATTTTAAATCTATGTAATTTTCTTATCAAATTTCTTCAGAAAAGCTAAATTGTATGCCATGTACATGTATCTCTAAACTATGTTTCGTTCTTCAGGCAATATTAACTGATTTTAAAATTGGATCAATTATTTTCATGAACCATCCCACAAACCAGAAGGATATGAAAATGTTAACGTAAAGTTGTAAGGAATCTTGATTATACCAACTGAAAGGGGAGAGAACGGTTTATGGAGAAGGGAGAAATGGCTGAAAAAAACTAGGGAGGCGGCGCCGGAGGGAGAAAAATGAGTTTAAAAACTAGGGAGATGGGATATTTAACTGTCTGTTCCTATCCCCTCCGATGCTCACTATAGTCTCACTTTCTGTGTTCAGTCAGAAACTGTATGACAGTAACAGTCACCAGGGGCGTAGCCAGCCCTTTTTTCCCTTTAAGCCCGAGATGATCACGATGGGGTGCTAGCCGCTTTAGGGTGGGAGAAAATTTTGAAATCTAGAGGCTCGGAAATGCTATTTTCAGCATTCTCCATGAGATATTTCGTTAAAAAATTGATCTTGATTAGTGCTCACAGCAATATTTCCGAGCTTTTGTTAACATGATATATATACAGTATCCCAGCCTTATATATATTCTGGCCTTAGTACACTAAACAACGTTTTACAAAAGCTCGACGTGTGCAGCAAGGAATATCAATACAAGGACCAAATCTGGTACGGAATTTATTGATCATTGATTGCAATATGTGAGGAATTCCTCGGGCGGCGCGCCATCTTGTAATAGCATAGAAATTGTGCACGCACAATGTTCGGTTCGGTTTGTTTTTTGTTTGTTTTGGTTGTTTTTTCCCTTTCTCATGGAAATTCCTGTTAAGCCCGGGCTTAATGGCTTAAAGGCTGGCTACTCCCCTGGTCACCCAATACTGTAAAAGCTCTATTAAATTTAATTTTAGGCCTCAAGAAGGGGGGCTTATTAGAGAAGGGGGCTTAATAGAGGGGGGGGGGGGGGCTTATTTCAAATCATAATTTTTCGAGAAAATTCACTTCACTAAAACAGAACAAGAAATGGGTTATGTATGACTTAATAAAGCTTTTACGGTACTTACTACCCAAACATTCTGGCCACTTGGAGATGCTAAAATTATTGTTACTTTCAGACTTCCAGGACACAAGTACAACAAAACTGCAGTATGGTCTGCCACTTACCAACCTTACTCATTTCCTTTTCTTCAATGCATTTATCAAGGAAGTTTAAAGTCCGATCAACAGATTTACGAATTCTCTTTTCAGTCTGTCCAGAAGCAGGGATCGTGTCACAAAGACATTCAGCTATATTGGGCTTGAATGCTTTGAGCACTGTTATGAACTGATTCACATCTATCTGAAAATCCAAAAAAAGGTTTGGCATAAATGAATTATAATTATTGAAGGGTCAAGTAAAAAAATATGCTAATTAAGTGGGCAAATGTGCTTTGCTCAATTAGCATTAGTTTTCGACTTGACCCTTCAATTATTATTATTTACCTACAGCGGATGGACAGATCAACCATGCATATATAATTTCTCAGCATTGCTATTCTTATCTTCACTATCAATCTTTTTTCATTCCCTCTGTTTGCTTTCTTTTTGGTTTAACCATGTTGACTCCCTGGATTGCTCATTGACCAGCATTGTGCGGTTCCAGAAAAATATCCATACCTACCCAAGGAAGGTCACTGGAAATTCCGAGAGGGAGGGGGGCCTCAAAAGCCAAAATTATTAAAGGAAAGTATGAAGCTAAACTGGAAATTCCAGGGGCGAGGGGGGGTTCAACCAAAAACCTTCCGTGGGGGAGGTATGGATATATTCTGAAACCACACATTACAATTCTCCTTACTGTCATCATAAATTTTCTATAACTTCCCGCCAATGCTGTGCCTTGTTGTGGTAGGGAGGCTTGTGTGCCCTTATAACCCCAAGAGCTGTGCCAGCGGGGCCAAGTGCTCCTGGCATGGTTCAACCATGTCGGATTGGATTGGTCTGTGTGAGAGGTGTCAGACGAAACAACAACCTGGTCTTCCAGGTTGAGGTTGGGCGTGGGGCTAACAGAAACAGAAGTAAGGAAATTTGCAAATGCCAGTGAAAGGAGAGATGCAGACCAGGCAACCTTGTGTATGAGGGATGGTAATGAAAGCCAGAAGGAGCGCCCCTCACAACAGCTAGGTGACAGGCAGAGGATTGGCAGCAGTGGAGGACTGTTACGGAAGGCCCATGTGCCACTTTGGGCACTTTGGGTCCTGTGTGAGTGAGTGAGTCCCCTTGAGAGAATTTGGCTTTGTTAGTCATGTCTTATTTTCTATATAATCACTAGGCAAGCTCGCAAGCCACACACTGTATATAAATCCAAGATTCAATTTGATTTTGCACCTTTTTCCGGCCACCTGGAGTCCACACAGACACAGTCTTTTCTTCATTGTACCCCTCACGTATGTCTTGAACTGGATCTTGTATTGATAAGTAGGAAATGAACTCCTAAAATCAAATGCAAAATACAGGTACTGTAGATTACAATGATCGAGAATAAAACTACAAAAGCCTTCACCTTCATTGATGAAGTTATAATTAAATTAATTTACCTCAACCCCTAAGAATTGCTTTATTCCATTGTAGCTGGACTTATTAATAACCTTGGTCCCTGGCTGATCAATTCTGAAAAAATCAACCACAAAAAATGTCAATTTAGTCTTGTTAGTACATGCTGAAGCAACAATGCCTTTTGCCATTAATTATTGTATAAAGCCCTGGCCAAATGGAGAAGCAAGTAGACGCAACTTTCCAACTTGTGTCCACTTGCGTCTTCGTTTGGGCCACGACTTGCGTTTTGAAATTAAGATGCCGGACACTCTTCAGCGCAAGCTTACGTATTAAAAATCCAGGTATTTTGCCAAGGTAAATCAAGAATTGGTGTTTGCAGCCTCTGTCCTCATTTCTTTACACCCAGTCTGCATTTTATACGCTAGTCCGTGTTTTATACCCTAGTCAGTCTGTGTTTTATAGTCCCTAGTCCGCGTTTTATACCGTAGTCCGTATTTTATACCCAGTCCGTAGTCCATTTTACCCAGGGGCGAATATTCCATGCAATATACCCTGGCTTGTATTCCTAAACACATTATTCCTGTGATGTGGTCAGCCAGGGGAAGCTGGTGATATGTGTATATTAAAGTGCACCTCTCCAAGGAAGGTACTTCCTAGAATGTTTGGGTGGGTGGATGTTTTTGTAGATCATCTAGCTCGTCAGGCAAGCAACAGTTTAGCACTATATCACCTTTTTCCTTGTGGCTAGTGAATTTTGCTATTAAAGTGCCCAAGGGCAAACCTCTAGTACAATCTCTTTTCTTTATAAGTTTTATACCTTCTTTGTCTTAATAGACGACCACCACAAATTAATCTTGTTTTGACAATAGACCAAGATCACTGTAATAGTTTTGATTAAAATATAGACTGAAAACTGCGTGCGCTCTGGTTGGTTAAAAACCATGTTTTATCAGAGTATATAACATAGAAAAGCGTGTTTTATTGTTTCACGCGCGTAAATCTATATTTTAAAGCACATAAAGAAGCCAAAACCATATATTATACTGTCATAAAACACGACGGAAATTTGAGAACACTTGAGAAATTTAGTAAACACTCGCTTGCGGCTCGTGTTTTCTAAATTTCTCTCGTGTTCTCAAATTCCTGTCGTGTTTTATGACAGTACAAAATACATGGTTTTGGCTTCTTTATTTGTTAAGTACAAATAAACCAATTCATTGTAATTGAAGAAATTTCGTGTTCAAATAAAGTGTCTGTCTGTCTGTCTTTTTACACGTTGATGTACTCACATGGTCTGAAGAGATAAATGAACAATCGATGGTAAATTTCCAATTGAATGCAAAACATCCGTAGCAAGATGCGGTACTGCACCCCCTCGACTATACAGTGAACAGCCAGGAGTCTGGATTTCGTGATTCTCTAGTCTAAGAACACCCACGCGGCATGAACAAATCGTTTTATGAACTGCAAAATTCATTTCTCGCGATCATTGCTCACAACTTTTCGGTTCGACTTCGACAGGAGAATGGTATGTTGTGTAGCCGTAGTGTTCTATCCTGCAGTGACACCGACATGAAAGTATATTTCTTATTTTACCGTTTGACGGGCATGTCAAACAATATGACACGCGAAATATTCACGAATACAAAAAAATAACGCTAGTAAAATGATAGGTACTAGAAAATTATCTTACAGCTTTTATTTTTAAAAGGAGACATTACAATGCAGTTACTTGACATGTAATACTAAGGTTGCCGCTGACCATTCATGCGATTTCTTTTGATTAAAATTGCAAATAATTACAATATTTCTTGTCGATGGCCGCGTGGCCTAATGGATAAGGCGTTCGACTTCGGATCGAAAGATTGCGGGTTCGACTCCCGTCGTGGTCGACTATTTTACTTTTTTCTTTCCATAACTATTTTTTCATTTGTAGTTCCTACATTGATCATTCCACTTTATTTAAAAATTTCGATAAACAGAAAAATTAAAAAAAATGTTCAAGCAATAAACAAATCAATGGCTGACAATCGCGTTGCATGTTCAGCAAATTACATCAGATGGCACAGAAATAGCTTTTTGATTCAGTTTTAATATTCCATTGCTTTCTGCAACTTACACAAATTGGCGGTTTTGAGTTGTCTAGCCCGCAAGCCGGCGAGCGACGCTAACTTTCTCAAGCGTGAATCTAGCGCTTTTCGCACATGGAGTCATGGACGGCTTGACATTTGTAAAAGGACAAATGCGGTCAGTTGCCAGTGTTCAGTTAGCCTGCGTGGCAGGCGTACAAAGGGGAGGGAGGAGGGGAGCGCGAAGCGCGATCGGCGGGAATGGGGGTTGTTAAGGGCGGTACCCTCCTTCCCGCCGATCGCGCTCTCTCCTCGCGCCCGAAACTCCCCTCTCCCTCCCCTTTCTCCGCCTGCCACGCAGGCTAGTGTTCAGTTGATTGTAAACCTGGGAAGCGTACCCGACCCTGGTGCGGTTTCCGTTGGCGCGCGACGTCAAAATACGAAACCGCCAGCTGTAGCACGGTTCATGATTGAACACTTTCAAGTAAGATCAGTCATTGGAAGGTCAAAATTACTCCAGCTACAATGTTTCGGCAGTTGTCGGCCGTGTGGGTTAGTAGCTCTTTATACGATAACAATACAAGAAACAATTTCTTTAGAACCTCAAGATTTCCAACTACTAGGCGAATTTTGGGAGGCGGGTCCCACCAATGAAGCCCGGGTTCTATTCTGTCCGGTTCTCTCGCATTGCGCCGAGTGTTTTTCTCCGGTCCCCCTATTTTCCTCACTTCGAAAAAATGTATACTTCCACATTTCAATTCCATCTGGATAGATATATAGATAGCATGGAAACCAGCTACGACCTCAGTGACTTTACTCTCATGTCTCTAAAAGAAGTATAAAAATCCCCGGATGTTTGGGAAAACTAATGCTTTGGAAAGCTCATGTGTATCACTTATAATGCAAAACAGGACAATCATTCTTGAATCTGTTTTTATTCTTATGATTATCACAAAAATGCTCGAACGTCCAGTAGTGAAATGTCTCACCGCTTTTACATCAAGAAAGCCTAATAATAATAATAAATTAACTCATCGCAAACCTCTGTACAAACATTCCATGGACTAATTTACAGTGTTGCGGCAATGAGAGGAATAACAATTGCGAAGATTACGCGAGTATTTCCGAACGGAAAATCTCTCACAATGCTAAGGTTACAAACACTTGGAACTGAAAATCACGCGTATGATAATATTATACTTCTCCCTAATATGTGGTTCGCACCACAAAAGCAAGTTCTCGCTGGGCAGACAAATAAAATCACCGAAAACTCGGTATCTTAATAAAAGTTTTTTCTTTATCCTTTGTTGACACTAAGTGGCGGCACGGATTGTGCATCGGACGTTTTGGCCTGATCTGAACTCTTGGGGCTTGGAGATTCACTAGGCTGGTCCTGAACTGTATCTTTGGCTTCTTTCTCTGGTCGTCCAGAGATCTTGGCTTTGTTGACAGGCATAGAACCCGGCATTCGTGGAGGGCCACGGGGCCTATTTGGCCTGTTTCTTGCTGGTATAGGCAGAGGCTGAATACGAACAAGGCTGCTGCTCTTGTTAGGAGGGCCTTTACCATCCTGTTTTGTTGAGATGTTCTTGTCTTTGCTGCTTTCTTCTGGCTTTGAGTCTAATTTGGTTGTCTTTGACGTCTTGTTTGGCTGTTCAGAATTGGTTTTTCTGTTTCTTGGGTTACTTTCTATATTGAGGGATTTTGTTTCTTCCTTCTTCTCTTGAGGTTTCTGGTTTTCTCTTGGTATTTGTCCTTTCACGATTGGCTTGTCTCCTGGTACACTGGTGACAACTTTAACTTGCTGATCAACTTGAATGTTCATCGGCAGGACCCGTTGCTGTTCTTGTTGTCCCTGTTGTGCAAAGAACATTCTGGTCTGTTTCCAACATCTTGTGATGCTGTCCTATCTTAAAGGCAGCCGCCACATGGTCCTGGTGTGGCAAGGATTGCGGCGGCATTTGAGGTCTGTTTGACACAATTTGTTGCTTTGTAGGCACCATTTGAGGTGGTGGTACCGTTTGCGCACGAGGTCCTCGAGGGGCTTGCATGTGAGGTAATCCGTGCATTAAGGATGCTGTCATCGGGCGCTGAATTGGGGCGGGGAACCGCTGTGCATTAGTTGCACTGGGCTGTGTTCCACCCATGCCTATAGGACGGAGGCCTGGTGCCCGAATAAGTTGCCTTGGCATTGCTGCGGCCAAGACAGCCGGATTTGGCAATAGGGCGGCTGCAGCACCTGGTAATTGATTCACACCTTGCTGCTGTTGCTGTCCTTGGGCTCTAATCTGAAGGGCGTGTTGTATACCCACTGGTTGCTGCTGAAAAGGAGTGAACTGCTGAGGTTGCACTCCTTGAGGTTGCTGTTGCATCTGAAACTGACCCATCGCAGTGTGCTTTGGAAACGTTCCAACAGCACCAGGGAAGGGAATACCTGGGTCAACAGGTGACATCGACAGTGGTCGGCTAGAGATGAGGGACGTTGACACTGGGGGACTCTGCGATGATCCTCCCAGATCTGGAGGGCTGGGACAGATAGTCATCAAGTTTGGATTCCGGGCAAATGTTGATGACACCAAAGGACCGATTGCAGCGCTGCTGGATGACACAGAACCAGGGGTTGATCTCTTTGGAGGTTCAAAAGGTTTAGCATTGACATGTTTCACTAGTTCGGACTGCCGGGCAAAGTCCGCAGCTTGGTTGGATGTTTTCTTTATTTGCATATCATGTGAGACATCGTATGTGCCTTGCTTCTGCTGGAAAGGGTATGTTCCTTGGAATGCCTGGTGTGTTGGTTGAGCCGTTGGAAAGCCACCCTGTCGTGGCATATTCTCTCCCACAATTCCTGACTGAGCTCCCAAAAATGTGCCTCTGTGCAGACTGTGGGTGCTGAGTCAGATTGAACAAAGGTGTTCCTCCTCTTAATGTTTTGGGGTCGAATTGCATGTACATGGTCTGTGCCCCTTGTGGGTTGACATTCTGTGGAAAGACAGATCCACTTGCAGTCTTTGGCTGCTGAGCCTGAATGCCCATCAAAGATGTTGTCTGGGTCCTTGGTGCAGAGTTCACAAATGACTGGGTTGTGGTTGAGGGCAACAGAGCAATGGACACAAAAGGTTGAGACCCCTGGAAATTCCCCGCTGAGTAGACCCCACCAGCCAGGAATGGCGACTGATACATGTCCTGTGTAGCCTGGGACAGGGGTGAGGACGACGACCGTGCTTGGTTTCACTTGCTGAACGTGGGTAATGGGAAAGGTGGGTGTCACCTGTTGATTCGTTTGTTGAAGCTGTTGAAGCTGCTGTTGCTGCAGAAACGGCTGTCTCTGCTGTATGTCCACATACTGGCCGACAAAAGGAAATGCATAACGCTGTGGCATTGCTTGTTGATGCAGTAAGTGGTCCTGTGCTAGCAAAGGCTGACTTAAAGGCACAACATTCAAGTCAGTTTGACGGTTCTCTTCCGCAGGTTGAGGCACAATAGATGATGACTGTTGAAGTTTAACAGGCTGCTGCTGTTGCTGTTGGGCTTCACTTTACAAACATTCTGCTGCTCCCCTGATCCTGTTTTCTTGGGAAAGTTTATACCATCAGGAGGTTTAGAGTCCGCCTTACTAGAATTAACTTCCAATTCAACTTGCGATTTAGACACGGCAACTTGATCATCACCTAGCCTCGACTCTGATGTCTCCACCACTGGCATGCCCACAATTGATGAATTAACACTCGCTGGTGTGCGCAAGGTCTCTTCCCACGCGGCCACTGGATTGCTTGTACGTCCGATACCAAGCCCACCTTCCCAAAGCTTCCTCGACGATTCCACCTTCTTCGTCATTTCAAAAATAGCTGGTGATACTGGTGAAGGCTCCCTGTCTGGTCTGTCAGCTGTTGGTCTTTCGTGAATGTCCACTGTGAGAGATGCTGTACTGAATAGGTTGTCAGTGTCGTCGTTTCTCTCAGCTGAATCCACGTTCAGATCAGGTTCGGAGTCCTTTCTGCTTGATTCACTTTCAGAGTCATCTTTGGCTTCTTGCTCCTTTGGAGAAAAGAAAACAACTGTCAAAAAAGAAAGAAACAAAGTTTTGTGGTCGATTACACTAAAGTATGAACCATACGTTTTACTACTTAACCGAAAGTAACCGCTCATACCTCGTTGATAATTAAGGTTCTTAATTCTCTCAGTAGAACGTTTATTTTCTCTTGAAATGAAGGCGAAAAGTTCACATGTTCATGTTCCCATGTTTGAAAGAGCAGTGACAAAGCAGTCAAAAGTACATGTCTACCCGCTTGGGTAGTCTACAAAACAGGCGTATTTTGGGCGAGCGAGCAATGAATATTCCATCGAGTGTTTATAAGTTGCCATCTTGGATTAGGAAAACATCAGAGGCTTGGGGCGAGTGCAAAAGAACGACGAAGGGAGAGGGAGTCAGACAGAAAGGCGAGGGAGGAGGGAGGGGGAGGGGGGCGAATAATACGCCTACCCGCACTCATTGTTCGTTTGGGACTCCGTTCGCCCACGGAGTCTCTGATTGGTGCGGTAGGTCCCTAGGGAGCGCACAGATTGATATCTGCCAATCAATAGTATATTTTCGTGCGGCCGTTACACACGCGAGAATTATTTTAATTTCTAGAGTGAGAACAAACGGCGAGATAGCAACAACAACAACAACAATTTTAATTTTGCATTTATAAAAATTAGGTTACATTTTTTGGATAAATTATTTTAATAGTAGTTCGTAATAGTATTTGAGTAATTAGCTAATTATAGTAAATGCCTAGAGGTTAAATGAACTGGAGGGTTTTCTAGTTAACCTCTAGCCTGTT